GTGTGTTTCTAGGATATCTATAATTGGAGGAAAGAAAAAAAAATACTGGAGTTCTGGGGACATGTTTCAGGTTTCTGTTGATTGAGGTTGAATATTTAGTTTGGATTTGAATTTTTGTTCAAGTCAGGCTGAAGATGAAGATGAAGATGAAACATAACAAACTTTTCTGCCCCCCCTCAGTCCCCTCCCCCTCACCTGGAAGGCCTCCTTGGCGTCCGCGTCGTCCTCGTCCCCGCGCTCCCACGGTTGTCTGTTTGGTGAGTTGAGGCTGTCGCCGAACACGTCGATGTAGAAGAAGACGTATTCTTCGTGAGCGAGGTCGGCGCGACGGAACTGGACCATGAGCTTCCTGAAGACGTCGGGGGAGCAGCAGACGAACATGACTGTGGGACAGGACAGAGACAGAGACAGAGACCGGGTCACTCTGTGACAACACACACACACACACACATTTATTTGTTTTTTCTTCCATCGACCGTTTCCCCTCAGAGATCAGTAAAGTATTTCTGATCCTGATGGACTTAAACACAGCGTTTTTTTGTTTTTTTTTCCGTTGTTGTTACGTGACATCATCATTCTGGTCACTGTTTAAATTGTTTTTTTAAAAACGCGACCTTTGATCGATCACGTCTCTGACTGTGACTCAGACGGACTGGGTCGCCGCGGGGCTCCTCCTGTGTTGGACCAGGGTTAGTTCACGCTGAGCTCTGACAACCTGCCCCCCCACCGCTGTGACTCATGCCACGGGAGGCCAGATTAGCTCCCGCCTCCTCCACCTCCTCTGATCACGCTGACTCATCTGTGACGGAGCAGCACGGTGAGACCCAGGTGATTATTTCTGCTGCCAGAAAATTAAATCGGGACCGAGTCGAAGGAGATCGTAAGCTTCCGCCCCAATTACCCCCCCCCCCCCCCCCGCTTACCCCCCCCAAAGGTGCAACAACGGCGTCGGCCACTGCTGATGTTTCCAGACACACGTCTATGAAACACACACACACACACACACAGGACACCATGGTGGTTATCAACATGAGGCCCGGGGACAACTGGTGGCCCCCATGGACCTACCTAAGGTGTCCAAGGAGCAGGTAGTTCTGTGTTCGATTCCCAGCAGATCTGCTGTTTAACACGTGAATTTCCCAAATGTGGAATCATTAAAATTCAAATAATTATTTATTATTATTAATTAATGAACAAACTGAATGCTTTCATGATAATCCAGCAAAATCTAAACTCCCAAACCGAGCTCATGTTCACGGACCTCTGAGTCCAAACCATCTGATCTTCCTCTCAGATATTCCGAGCCTCAGGAAGTCTCAGGAGCAGAGATGATGACATTCCTCTGGCCGACTCTCCTCGTTCCTGTCCCACCACCTCTATTGTTTCAGACCAGAGTGACCTCTGAGCAGGAAGTGAACGTGAAACCACAGAAGCCACACGGGGCTGAAAGCTTTTCTTTTTTTTTTCTCTCTCTCTCTCAGATTGATACGGCGCTCTCTGCTGCTGCTGCTGCTGCTGCTCCGACCCAGACGTTCAGCTCTAAAAATAAGAGGATCACGTCTCGTCTTTACTGAGGCTTCGGCTCAGGATCACAGAGTTCAGGGAAAGTCAAAGTCGTTTTAACAGTTTAAATGAAATTAATCTATTTTTAAATCAATATTTGACACAATTATCACATTTTTTTAATTTAAATAAATGTTGGTTGAAGACTGAATGTAGGTAAAGTTTAATTTCTATCTACATCACACAGCAGTACAGACTGTCGTAGCTAACGTTAGCTCTGCTAATCTCCTACAGACTGGACAGATCTGCCACAACAGAGGGAGAACGGAGAAAGGTGAGATTTTTTTTTTGTCTTTTATCAATTAATTATTAAGTCTAATTCTGTGACTACAGGATAACAGTTTCATAAAACCAGTACCAGTGGTAGTACCAGGACCAGAACTGACCTCATACACCACACAAGTTTTAGACCTACATCACCACCACCACAGTCCAATCATCAGCTCCAGCCCAGAGGTTGAGCCACACCTCGTGTCCAAACATAATCTGCTGCCCTGTCTCTGCAGCTGGGCCCCCGGGGGCCCCGAGTGTGTTGACCCGTATATATTTACTGTTGGATCACAGTCCAAACATAAGGTCCTCAGACCAGACCAGAGACCAGACCGTTGGAACGGTTCATGGTTTTATAACATGACCAAATAAAGGAAGTGTCACATCCACGGAGACGACGCTTTGATGCAGCGAAGCTGCAGAGAAAATGTTTCTATATTGGGTCAAAGAGCGGCGCTGCTCCACTGAAGTGTCAGGCTGACATGATACAGGAAACACATTTAAAAGTCAGATCACAGTTTCACCAAGGTTTATCCTGGGAGCACATTTAGCTTTAGCCACGGTCCAAAGACTGAGTCAGGTACTGAGACAGAAAAGTCTGGAGCTTATGATCCCCTACAAGGTCACAAATGTACAGACACCACAGCTAACGTTAGCTACAACAGTCCTGGTACAGAAACCAGAGCTAACGTTAGCTACAACAGTCCTGGTACAGACACCAGAGCTAACGTTAGCTACAACAGTCCTGGTACAGACACACTGTGTGAACCTGTCCTCAGATGTTGAATCTAACGGCTGTAATTGTACTAATTTAATTGATTTACCTTTTATTAAGTGGATCATCTTGATCAAATGTAATTAATCTGATCATCGTTAATCAGTTTATTAAGTGGATCATCTTGATCAAATTAATGACAGGCCCAGTAGTTAAGGGCCTGTAATTAATCTGATCATCGTTAATCACTGTCCACCACTAGTTGAACTCTCTGTTACTGCCGTCAGTGAAGGCATCGTTCTCTGTCTGTGGTTGACCTCCCCCCCCCCGCTGCTCTTCATCCTCGGCTCCTCATCCTGACTCTTCAATTAGACCACGGTACGAGAGGAGGGGGGTCAGGGGGGTCAGGAGTGGAGAAGACGTCGACGACGACGACCTGCAGATGCTGAACAGGTGATCATGAAGAAGGAGTTAAAACTCCAGGGATGAAGATAACGCCAGTGTTTCTGTTTTGCCTCATTTCTTCTAGATCATCTTTCTCTGCTCGGAGATTTTCCTCCAAGATCAAAGTTTAAAGAAAGATGATTAGAGGAGAAGATGGAGACCATCTCCAGGTTCCTCCTCAGCCTTATCTTCAGCAGCAGCACTCATTTTCTTTGTCTTCACTCCTCAGGTGGAGTGTGATGCTGCTGCTGTCGCTGATGCTGCTGCTGCTGCTGCTGCTGCTGCTCATGAGCGGAAGAACGTGGAGTCGTGGCTGGGATTAGAGAGAACTCCTCCGATGTTGTGTTCGAGCTCAGGTTTATTTTAATCCTCACAGACTTTGGTTGATCGTCTTCACACAAATCACAGAGGAAGAGGAAGAGGAAATGGGTCGGTTTTTAAGTCAGACAGGAAGTGAGGGCGTTGGGGGGGGGCAGAAGTCAGTGGTCCTGTGTTATTCCAAACTTTTAACAGTCAGCTAAATGTTAGCAGAGAAACAGGTGGAAGTGAGTCGCTCCAAACGCCCGGAAATATAGCTTTAAGTTAGCTAAAAATAGCTAATAATACACAGGGCATGTTAAAGTGCGGACGGTTAAATGTTAGCCAAACAGCAAGGCTAAAAGTTGGAGATAAAAAAAACGTCTTCAAGTTAGCAATGAGTTTACGAAAAGATAGCTAAAAGTTAAAACCAAGAAAAACAAAATGCCAAAAACTAAGTAATCAAGAAGGGAAAGGTTAGCGTAGCATTTAGACAAAGCTAATGCTTAGCTTAGAAGTTAGCTCAATGTAAACAGATAAGCTAATAGTTGGTAGCAGTAGCAGCATCAAAATCCACTCTCTGCTCCCCAGACAGGCGTGCTAACCGCTACACTATGGAACCGACCAAAACAATAATAACAATAATAACAATAATATCATTAATATTTTATAAAAAAACAATTAATAACAATAAGACTTTGCGACTAAGACAAACTGTACACTAAAGTACCCCCATAGTACTGTGTACTACCCTCCACAGTAGTACTTCAGTAGCAGCCCCACAGAAGGAGTTCATGTTCTTCTGCTACAACATGGAGCGTCCTTCTGCGGACCGTCCTCCAGGGGTCTCCGTTCGTCTGGATGAACCTTCTCACTTCTGCTGAGATTCTACTCATTAATCTTTAACTACAGGCCAGATGGATGGGAAACAGACAGGGAGGAAGAGGAGAAGCTGCGGCACGGACCAGTAGCTATATTTGTTCAGGATGATTGGACGGCGACTTCGCCGCCACGACAACCGACTGACAGACGCACGTACGCAGGAGAGCGGGAGGTGACGTCAGCGACTCCTGCACGGAGCATCGTGTTCCACACACAATTAGGTTTAAACCATCTGAGTCTGGGACCAGGAACAGGATCAGTGAGGTCACATGACTCGAGTATCAACCAACACCGAATCAGGACGCTGCTACAGATAAAGGTGCAGTTTGTAAATGTGTTTGAGCTGCAGACACAGAAAAGGTCAGAAGAACCATTTCAACTAGAATTGAGTCTCGTTAAACTGATAAATGTTAGCCAGAAAACTTCGCAAAAATCACCTGCAGGTGGGGCTAATGCGTAACAAAACAGCTCAAACTTAGCAAAATTTGGAATTTTTAAGTAAAAAAAAGAAAGAAAACGTAGCTAAAACTAACCAAGCACAAAAAAAAAAAAGTTGGTAAAACTAACCAAGCCCAAAGAACGACGACGATTGTTTAGAGTTTGGAATTTCACGGACTGACGTTGGACATCGTTGTTTGTCTTTGTTTACAGAGAAGAACTGGAACGTGACGTTTTGTACATTTCAAATTTTATTTCCATGAATTGTGTGACATTTCTGTCTGTGATGTTTATTTTCTGTGAAACTACTTCAGACTTTGGCTCCAACGTTTTAGAAAGGCACGGACGTGGACCTTGAAAGTCCTTGACTCTGACCTGGGAGAGGACACCTGAACCCTGAGACGACCTGAGATCAGCTCCGACACTGGTTCCTCTGACTCCGATCGACATCACAAATGTTGTGACGACCGCGGAGACAATGTAAGATTTTGTCATTTAATAAGTTCCAATGTGTATAAAATGAAAAAGGATTAAAGTGTATAATTATTTAAATCAAAAATCGTTTGAATTGGACCTTTATTTCATATTTTAAATTTTTCAAGACTTTTTTAAGATATTATTTAGTAAAGTATGTTTCATCAGTGGTTGACAGAACAAATATTAATTTATTTCTAACCATAAATTAGCAAAATATTGGGAAGAAAATGAGTGCATTTTCATTCATTTTTGAATTTTTTCAGGAAATTATTTCTACAGTTTGTCATTGTGATCAAAAGTTAACAAACCAAAAAGTATATATTTTTAAAAATTTTAACTAAAAAATGGACATTGCTACAAATACTTTAAGCCAAATTAGTGAATTTATGTTCATTTTTATTTATTTTTTATTTTTAAAGACTTTTTCAGGAAATCTTTGAAAGATGTGACTAAACTATAATCATATTTTTAAGAAGAATTTTTTATAATTAATTGAATTCATTAATTTTTTTAATTACTGGATGATCAGTTACTAGACATTTCAGGTGAGCCCCGTATCCATGTAAATGTTGAAAACCACTGAGGTGACAGTGAGCGTCAGCTCCGACTCTGGATCAGTGAGCACAAACAAACAAACAGCTCCGTTTCCCACACAGTCTCCAAACCTCCCAACATGTCGTTTATTAACAGAGGTCAGGAAGCTCATGACCTTAAATGGAAAGTCCAGTGGGCCTATCAGATGTGTAGGTATTTCCTGCCAAACACGCTGGGGCTAATTTTACCTTTTTTACGTCTCCGTCTTTTGTCTGCCTTTATCAAACGGTTGGACGTCAGACCTTCGCACGTGTGACTGTGTATGTCGACGATATCGAAGAAAACGTGTGAGTTTAAACGGTGTTTTATGAGGAGTGACTGGAAACAAGAGCGAATTGGTTAAACACCACGGTCTGTCATGTTTGAAATGTAGGTTTAAAAAAAACAAATTCTCCAGAAATCATTGTCCATTTTTAGAAGAAAATTATGTGGATAAATTTGAAGTTTGACGCTCACAAGACTAAAGTTCAACTTTTACAAGAATTTATTTGTAGAAAAAAGACTTACGTTAGTTTGACTGAAATTGTAAAATTGCAACAACAAAAAAAAATCGTAAATTTATGAGAATTAAGTAATCTTAAATCTATTTAAAAAAATCCAAAAATGTCTGAATATAAAGGGGAAAAAACAAAGAGTCAGTGTGGAACAACAACTGTAGCTGTTGTTGTTTAAAATCATATCTGGTGTGTGTGTGTGTGTGTGTGTGTATCTGTGTGTGTGAATCTGCTGTATCATTCACTGATGCTCACTGTATCACAACATCCTCCTCCTCAGGACATGAGCTTTCACTGCTGTGTCCCTGCAGCTGTCTACTCTGAGGTCACATCGATCTCTGGAGCTCAGGTTTCTACTGCTGCTGCTGCTGCTGCTGCTGCTGCAAACCATCATGGCCAGCAGCAGCAGCAGCAGCACTGTGGGTTTAATTCAACTTTGTTTAACTTTACATCCAAATTTAGAGTTTAATAAAACTTTCTGTCAAAATGTGAAGTTTTCGTGTCATTTTTTTTCACGATGGTAAGGCTATA